GCTGAGTCTAAGGAGGTTCAAAACCACATCTCCCACCTCACAGGGGAATGCCCTAATCACCTGTTGGCTGATTAGGATGTTGGTGCTCTCTGACCCTCCTGTTAAAATTTGCAGCAGAGTTCAAGATTCATAGTCAAAGCACAAAAGGTGACACACCGATTCAAAGTTGGTGGTTAGGCCACTTCCTGGAAGGTGGGGGAGGGAAATCCTGGGTCTGTGCTCCAAGGTTTGTTTTGGGCTCTTTACTGTATTATTTATTAAATAGTTATTAGATTAAAAACTACAAAAGTGGGAATCCTGGGAGTAGGGACCAGTTTCATGACTCCTATTATCCATTGACTTCTTAACAGGAAGTACAGAATCAGCCCTTGTAGCATAGACCCAAATCCAAGACTCTTCCCTTCCAGGTGTGTGCCATAACAGCTAGGGTGAGCAGGCCACATCCCTCTGGTGTTTGCCCTTTTTGGTTCCTCAGATTTTGAATTCTTTGTTCTATTACAGCACATCTTCAACAGGAAATGGGGAAGAGTACCCTAGCTTGGTGCTTAGGGTACTGTACTTTGGAGGTGGGAGATGTAATTTAAACCTCCAGGGGCTAGGAGAGGACCTGGGAACTCGGGTCCTCTGTGTGAGTAAGCTCACTTTTAGGGTATTAGGACTGTTCTTTTCCAGCCGTGCATTAGAAGTAGCCTCAATTTATTGTAGGGAGACCAATATCACTTGTGTGCGACTGTTCTTGAAGCACATCTATCAGATAGGGCCTCTCACAGCATTTAGGTGGAGAAATGCCGAGTTTCTGGACCCTAATTGGGTTTGGATGGAGGATGGGCACCAAACTACTCAGACTGGGGTTGTGGTCAGACTCCAAACAGAAAACTGAGAAATAAGCATTTTCAAATCAAAAAGGGAGGTACTTCTTCAGCTCAGACATGTCTAGGTTAGACTCCAGTGATTGGGGAATTTTGGGATCGCAATTTTGGATACAGATTTTGCTTCCTGCATCCTGCTTTAGTTATACAAGCCCTCTGTTGGATCTGTTGTGTAGGTACTAAGTTTGGAAATGTTAGTTGGGATGTCAGCAGGA